AGCTCTCAATAAGTATCTGTGAAGTGCATGTAAACTCAACTTGTTTACTTATTTTATATATTATTTAAAATAATATTTATATTTAACGGTCATAAAAATAAACTGAATTGCCTTTGCATCTTTTCTAGCTATCGCAGCTGCCATTAAGAAATTTTTAAATTATAAAGCAATAAATTTATATGCATTTTTATGAATATTTTCATTTTTTATTATTATTGGAAGTTTGTGTCAATGCCTCGAACTGCATTTTTCATTCATAAAAGCAGGCGTTTACACAAATTGTTTCAACTCACAACCGAAATTCCATTCAAAACAAACTCTGGCATCATAAATTGTTTTCGTTTTCAACTGCAATTAATGTTTAAGCTTATTTAAATTAATTTCGAAATGTTAGAAAAAAGATAGTTAACAGAAAGTATCTGAAAAGTTAAGCAATTTAATCCCACGCTTTTTAGCGTCAAAACTGAAAATCGTTATCAGACAGCAGCACCGTACTGCTGCTGTCGAGTTCCCTGCGTTTTATTTTTTCCTACGCGTAAAGCAGTTTCAGATGAAAGCGAACTTTCCTTGACTTCCACAAACGCAACCAGTCACTGCTCTTTGCTGCAGTCGCTGTTGTTGGTGGCAATGCATTGACTGCACCTCATGTCAAACACTTCACTTCACTTCATCGCTTGCTCAACGTCTTGAACTGTTGAGATTGTTGTGCTTTTCTACTGCTGACAGCAGCAGTTGCCACTTGCAGTTTGATTTGGCTTTATATTTGGATTTGTATCTGACATCTTCTTATCTAGTGGTGGCTGTGGTTGCTTTTACATTGTTCAACTGATCTCGTTCTGTTGACAGCTTTTTGTCACCACTGTTTTTTCTGGTTAATGTTTTCCTCAATGGTGGGCCGTAATTTGTCTTTAAGTATGGAACAAATATATTTGAGCAGTTGTGAAACTAACAGATTTGCTGTTTGTTCACAGATAAAACTATTTGTACTCATGTTTAGTTACCTGATCCCTCGAGTTACAAGTGAAGTATTACACATTGAGCAACTTTATGACTAAACTTGAGTAGTAAAAGTGCTATTTAATTATTTTTTATTTCATTATTATATACGAGTATTACTTAATTTTTAATTTGTTTACTAAAATTATTAAAAAAAATTGTTAAGACTTCGTAATGAGATTTTCTAACAAATATAATAAATTGTGAAATAGTTTACAGATTAGTTAGATGTTAAGTTGTTATTATATTTTTTTTTGCACATTTTTACGAAATTTTATAAACGACGATGTAATTATGAAAAGAATTAATTAATGCTAATTATTGCTGAGTTCCAGAAAGATGTAGTGATCTTACATTTGTCTACTTGTGATTTACTTATTGAACTAATCATTGTAATTACCTAGTAATTTTTTTTGCGGTTTTCTAGGCATTGATCTGAATTGATGTTTGGGGACAATGTTCCCACTTTCAGCAAAGCAGCTATCTTAAAATGTTAACCGAAAGAAAAAACTTCAAAATTTTTTGATTATTAATTAAGTAATTAAATAAATTTTTTTAATAAATAAACAACGACTAAGATAGTTTATGCGTTTTGCATTAGTCATAACTAATAACATAGTAAGTGTAAATTTTGTTTATATTAATTAAACAATCTTCTAAAAACAATTAACAAAATTCATTTTTAGAAGAGAAATTAAGTATATTTTGGTTTTGAGTATTATAACACGGATCCACCGTTCAGATTTCACAGGATTTCATATGTGACACTAGCAGTTCAACCCATTAAATAGATGTTTCAAAAAGTCCACTGATGTGTTCAGCTCATTAAAAATAAAAAAAATGTTGAATTTGAAAATTTCTTCACTATTACCCTATTCACTATTAATTTTTAACTACTAATAAAAAAAACTTATTATCCAATCAGTGTGGCATGCGATAAGAATGTTACTTTGATAAAAAAAAAATCCTTTTTTTTATCGTTTTCACCAATGCTGATCTGAAGTTTTGAATGAAAAAGCAATTTGGGTATAAGTCCAATAGATCCATTGGGACACTCCACAATTAAATCGGCAATGAGATGAGTAGATACCAAACAAAGAGCAGTTCACTTAGTCACAAAAAATCACAAATGGACTTCCGTTACCATGTGAAATCCTTGGTTACCATGTGGAAAGAGAAGCATTTAATAGTTTATATGGCGTTATTGGTGAAATAACTATATTTCTTCAATTGCCCTTAAGACTGGTTCATAGAAACGGATTTCATTTCAACAATTAAATGATTGCAAAAAACTGATGTCTATTATGAGATCAAAGAAAAGTTATTCCAAGAAGGCCAAATATTGAAAAAGTTTTGGAATAAAGAATGCTTTATTGTTGAATAATATAAATTTTGTCTATAAGATATTATTTTATTATTCATCCTATAAACTTATTGAAAAATGGTTATCTGCAAAATAATTATTCAGCCCCTCATACACTTAAAAGAAAAAAATGAATTAAAAATTTTTTTTATCAGAATCACAAACTTATCCACATATACAAAAACTGTTGACACACTATCTGTTGTGAGGATCCCCAATCCTTTAATCCTCTCTGAACTTATTAAATCAACTTCAACTAAATTATGAATTATATTGAAGTCCAAGTTTTATATTCTAATTTATTTTCTCAAGTATCTCTTATAAATTAAACTGTTACTGTTTTTTTTATTTTGTAATTCTAAATATTTTAAAATTCATTATTTATAATAAAAGTCCTTTTCACATATTTTTAACACCTCTTGCCGTTATTGTCAATCATATCCTCGGTGTCGTGAGCCATCCAAAAGCTGATGCATGGAGTCAATGAAATTTCTACTTCTACTGTCCTTATATTTAGTGTTATTCACTAAATGAGCCTAAATTTGGAAAAAAAATTTCTGAAAAAAATATAGCACAATAAATGGTCGTAAAAAGTGGTCTGGAAAATGTCCCAGAAAAATGGCTAACAAAAAATTGTCATGACGGACGGGCGCCACATTGTCTAGAAATTTCTAAAATAAATTTGCATATCGTGTTTGTTTTGTGTCATGTTGTTTTTTTGACTGCTATTAAAGCATTTTTATTCGATTTTTTTTATATTTGGTTTAATTTTAACCTACGACCCAAGTCGAAATAATCATATCTAAAATTATAAAGATTTTTGTATTTGAAAGTTTTTTTTGGCGACCTTCTCGTCTTTTACACAACACTAGAAAAAAGCCATAAAAATGTACAAATACATCACACCAACTAAGTCTACTAATGAGCAATTTATTCTAGATGGAAGTATGTTAAAAGGCATCAAACATTTACTCATGTTCATTGCCAGGACGATAGGAGTGAACCGTCGTCCTTATGTGCAGACTTGAGATTTTGTTTGGTGTGATAAATGTACTAAATAAGTTGAATAAGTTTTTAATGTTATATACAATAACTAATATAAATTAATAACTTTTTGGCGTTTACATCAAAAACTGTAAAAAGTGTACATATTCTTAAGTTTATATAGAGCCTTTATGTTTGCGCTTTTCAAATGAGATTTCGCACTTTGAACTTTTCGGGTTTGGACCTTAATTCTATATCCAAAATAAAGATATTCAAATAAAATTTAATACAGAATGTACTCATAATTATATTAGAGAATGTGCAAAATATTATTTAAATTTATTTAGATTTAGATATAGCAGCCAATTCTGACACGTGTTTTTATTGGAGTATTTCTTTTCATGTTTACAGTTTATATATAACAAGTGGTAAATAATAATTGGGTTGCTCAGCTTAGATATAGTACAATATAAACTTAATATATAAGACTTAAGAACATAATTTTCTTTGAAAAACTTTCTTATTTTATATATATAAGAAACCTCTAAGTCAGTATTTAAGTATCTGCTATAGACGAGAATATTCGTGGTGCAAATTATATGAATCGGTTCAGATTTATATATAGCTGTCTTACATTAAACTTTGGGCTTTGGATTAAATTTTATTTATGTTTTGTTTACTTCCGCCCACTCTAAATAGCTTATCCAACTTTAATAGCGAACGAGATATAGGCGTGAACAAAAAATTATTAGTATTTTTAATGTATATTATATTATATATATGCATCTGAGATCCAGCAAAGCCAGTGCTGATATCTTTACTTGTTTATTGCTTCATTATTGCGTCACATTTTTCGGTTGCAATGTCTAAACTAAATATTTTCATTTGTGTAATAAAAAAATGAAATAAAAATAATTTTTTTACAACATTTAAGTAATTATTAAATTTATTTGCTCGGCATACATTTAAGTGCTAAATCAAATAATAGTGTAGAGTCATTGTTGTTGTTGTTTCATTTTAAGTTTACAAATAAAACTCAAATTTGCACACAAGCCTTGCTGCCACCGCACTTCACTTCACTTCGCCAGGCTTTACTTTTGGGTTTTATTTGGCGCACAATTTATGCTTGAACTTCCGCTTTGCAAGTAACTTCCGGTTTGGATGCGCAGTGCAACTTTTCATTTTTGCAGCAATAAAAAAGTGAAATATTTTTTACTTTGTGTTGGACATTGTAGCTTGTTAGTTGTTTCATTAAAGCAAAAAAGCAAAACATCAACAAGAATTTATGACAATTGTATCTTGTATCTTATGGCTTTGCATTTTTGAATTTTTGTGTTCGAAACTGCGAGTTTCGGTCGATCCCTTTATACCTTGCATCCTTGTTGACTTATGAGCTATGAGCTGTTGCACTCGACTTTACTTAAAAATATCCTCAAGGACTGCACTAGATTGTTTACTTTTTAGTTAGATTTTTGCTAAAAGCTTTATGCTATTATTATGTTTTTTTCTTTTTTGTTATTTTTGCTTAGGAATACTTCAAGAAATCCTTCACTTTAAGGATTCAGTCTAGCGTAGGCTCCTTAAAAATATTACACAATTTTAGACATTTAAATTTTAAACAATTTATTATGTTCTTCTTAAATAATTGTAATTTATTTTAAATTCCATCAACTTTAAAATCGATCATTATAAATGCGTTCACAAATGGTGGCTTTGTGCGATACGTGGATGTTAGTATTCGGTAGTAACCTTTCTGCACAAAACTCGGAAAATCGGATATATTCAGTAAGCATCTACTTAGTGTTATGTTCAATGGAATATCGGCATAGGTAATATCGACATTATCACCAAATAGTGGTAGATTGGAACAATTTGAAGTAGAACGCATCAAATATTTTTTAAAATAGACATTTGCATAAACCAGCACATTCGTAGGAGGCACATAAAATGGAGTTAAATGCAAGTTATCATTGCCCTGAAAACTGCAGTAAATTTTCACTTCCACCTGTAAATATTAAATATTGATTTTATTTTTAAAATTCTAGAGTACAATATTAGAATGCACAGTTAAGTTTCGATTTAACTTGACAAATTATTCTAATTTTAAGTGACAATTTACAACACAATATCCAGCACTCAAGAATTACTTAAATTAAAAATTATTGAAAAACTAGCTCTGTCTTTTTTGTAAGTGTATTGTTAATATATAATTTTTTATTTTAAATTATTTTTCTCTTAAATTCCACCGATTCTTGACATTTAAACAAAATCACAACTAATTCATGAAGTAATGATTAGCAATACTAGAAACTGTATTGTTAACATACTGTTAACATATAATGCCATTATATTAAGTTGTAGCAATTTAAAAAATGCCACTGTAATTTACTATAACTGTAACTATAACTATACTTACGAAATAGTTATCATCCAACACATCCTTATGCATAGTGTGATATCCCGATATTCCATAAAGTCCACGGCTAATTCTCTCTGCTTTACCTTTTGTGTCGATCAAGCTAGTATTAGTTGAGTTTCCTTTGATTCCCAAAAACACATAACTCCATTCCCGTTTACTTTCTTTAGACAATACTAGGATAAAACAGGCTATTGCTACGATAACCAAACTTATGAATTTCATTACTTTGCCAAATGTCAGATGATGAAATTCTACGTAGTTTAGCAGACAGTGCATTAATGCAATTAGACTATCAATTCGGAAAGTTTTTCATTTTTAAATGGAGTAAATTTAAAAAAAAAAACAATTAATATAATTTTATTATTAATCCAATACTCCAACAAGTGCTTATTAGCAGCACTTATTGTTTCTCTCGTGCTGGTAAATTTCGAACAAAGGTGTTTCAACACATATTATCTATCTACTATTTATCTAATGAATGTTGCAAGTTTCACTGTGATATCAATTATTTTAATTGTAATGTAAATTGTTACTATGTATATAGATGATGTGTTGTGTACAATGTATTAAATTATATATCTATATAATTGACAATTTTGCATGGTTCATATGGTGGTAATGTGAAGCGTTTAAAAATTTTATCAATTATTTTCAAAATAAACTAGTAAAATACAATATAATAAGCATAACGCAATGTAAATTATATCATGTGATATTTTGTTCTTTTAAAACTCTTAAATATCTTTTGTTGATCTACTTTATGATCGAAATATTCTCCTCAAATTGATAAACTCACCACATGACTGTTAAATGCCAATCTGCAACAATTTAATACTAATACTTAAATTTATATACTAAATTAAATACTATTAAATACTAAAATTTAATAGTTTCTGAATTTATTAAAAAATTAGTAATTGTATTTGAAATAGTTGTTCTACTTAGAAATTCTCATCGATTGAATAATTTTTTTGGTTCTTATTATGGACATTTCAGAACATATTGTCATTAAGTTATTTTAAAGTCTGATTGACAAAAAATATGTGTCATAATATTAGGTTGCTCGGAAAATAATTTCGTTTTTTCCCGACAGAGGATGTAATTGTATTTTCTTGGACCCAACTTCACACTTAAGCCATTTAATTTTTATATGCTTTGAGAGCTCATATAGCAAGGTCTGGGATTATCCTCGAAGCTCAATGTATGGGTTCCCCATGTTCTCATAGAGAGAAATCTGTGTCGCCGCATTGACGTCCGCGATTTGCTTCTCAAACGTCACGAAAATGATTCCTTTTTCAAGCGCGTCATCACTGGGAACGAAAAATGAGTTGTATACAACAACGTCAAAGGCAAGAGGTCATGCAGCACAAAAGATGAACCGCCTCAAACCATTTTCAAAGCCCATATTCACCAAAAAAAGGTGATGCTGTCTATTTGATGGGATTTTAAAGGAATCGTTTTTTTTGAGCTTTCACCGGATAACACAACGATTAATTTGGAAGTCTACTGTCAAACTGAATGATGCACCTCAACAGAAAAGGCCAGAACTAATCAACAGGAAAGGTGTAGTGTTTCACCAAGACAACGCGAGACCCCAAGCTTAGTCACTCGCCAAAAGCTTTTACAGCTTGAATAGGATACAATGCCACACTCACCATATTCTCTAGACTTGACACCATCGGTAATTATTTGTCGGTAGGTAGCTGAGTTTGCCGATTTCTGCTGTAGATATTGGAAAATTCAAGAAATTAGAGTAATAACTTTCGTTCTAAAGATATTCGCACAAAAGATATTTTCTGTACAGAGCTGAGAATGCAAGAGATATGTTTTCTGCTCGCTTCGAAATATCTTAACCGCTTAGCTCTCATTTTATTTTTACCTTTGAGTTCTACCTCGACGTCTACACAAGCTAGACTTTCACAATATTTTCATGTACAAATGCCAATATTTATATTACAATTATTATATATACATATATATATGTATGTAGTATGTACATGCAAATATTATCTGTATGTTACTGAAAAAGAGATTATATGCAAAAAGCTTCAAACTTCAAACTAGAAGTAACTAGAAAAACTTTATATTTATATATTATTTCATTTCATAATATTTATATATTATTTAAATAAAATATTTTTATTTATAAAGTATATTTAATATTTATATATTCCTTCTCTATTAAGTATTAAGTTGTCAATATTTCGAAGACTTTTGGTTGCTTCAGAAGGACGGGACGATTAAGGACCTGTTCTTACACTCATGGAATTAGAATTATTTTTAGTGAAGCAATATCTAAAATTATATATTAGTTGTATTGTTTTGATAATTAAAATAAATGGAGCTTAAATTTTTATGCTTTAAAAAGTAACAAGACCGAAAAAGCATGTAAATAAAATATCACATATATTGAATTATCTGAGGATTAGTTAAATTTCACGTTCTTATCTTTAACGAAAAGATCCTAAAAATTCGTTTAATCGTACAATTACACAAAGCATTGATTCAACTATATCTCCAGTAAAAGTGAATGAGAATCAAGTTACCGATATGAGAACTTAAAATTGGTATTTCATGCGTGTTACTTGTAGAAATGTCAGATGTAAATGAGACATACCCGAAAACGCCTTTCTGTCAAACACGATCATTTCTAAAGAAATAAAAGATTCAAGATGATAACTGATAAATGATAAATGATATTAAATATCGCAAAACAGTTCCGTAACTTTTGGTAAGACTAAATTAAAAAGGACTAAAGTTACATGGAGGTTAACAATTCGATGTCAAAAAAAGAAGACGTGGGCACATACCACTGTGAAGAAAACATTGTGATCTGCAATAATGTGGTCTGGTTGAAGGACTGCAAAAGCAAACAGAATTTTATTATTATTTTTTTAATTAAATGAACTTCTTACGCAGAATCTAGATATAAAATTCTAATAGTTGTATAAAGAAATATATGTGTATAAAATGAAATGTTGTCCATAATTCAATTAAAAATCTTCGCTGACCGTAAAAGTTGTATTCCTTTTAGTTGAAACAAAATTGTTACTAAATGTTGCAGGCGAGTTTTGCAAATAAGTACTCGCACAATAAATGTAATTTATTTCTCTGTACTCGTATCTCTTCTGATTCCTCCTCATTTTTTATCTGTGTATGTTTTTATAGCGCTTGCAGTGCTTCCTGCAATGTAGTACCAACAATTTAAATGTAAATGTAATTTAATTGTTTAGCTTCAGTTTCAGTTTCAGCTTCAGCATTGCAACATTTCATTGCTGTTGCCGGGTTTTAGTGTTTGAAATGTTTTTATGTTGCTACAGCGCTTTTTTATCTCAGTTGCCCGCATCTGAAACATAACGAAAATTCATAAATTTTTAAACTTTATATGCTATTTCAGAGCCAAAATCATCTAGAAATAAATTTATTTTTGTAACAATATAAATATTTGATATTTTAATTATACCAATGTATGCTTAACACTACAGAAATAACAAAATTTTTATCATTTTCATGTTAATTTGCGTTTATTTGAGTACTGATATGAATTCTTATCATGTTTATTTTATTATAATTTCTGTATGCATTATGGACAGAGATAAACATAAACATTCAAACCTAGACAAACCTAGACAACATTTTCCACATTGCCGGCTATATGTCAGTAGTAGGTATGTACTCGTATGCGTACTTGTACTCGTAAATCCGCAAGGCTAATAAAGTTATTGGGTTTTACGTGAACCCCTTTAACTTTTACATATAGTTATTAACATATTTTCTGGTTTATTTTTTTTATTAGGAGTATCGTTTATCGAGACACAATTTTAATTTATCATTTATCGTTGTCAACTGCTGTTATCGCAAATATGGCCTTCACATTTGAACCATTGTAAAGTACCATATAAACCACAATATGTGTCAACACACTGTCCTTTTTGTTTTGCTCACTCTGTGGGCTACTAAGCTCACAGCCCACAGCCCGCAACCCACATCCCCCAGTCTACACGCCTGTTCTGTTATCAGCCCATTCTGATATTGGCCAGAAGCGTCAGTGGAAATGTCAATGCAAACTTCCTTTTTTATTTTATTCTATTTTAGACTCGTTTTGCTTGCCAATTTTCAACATTTGCTGTAATTTATCTTTGTTGTCTATCGCCGCTGATAGCAGGCGTTATACTCGTAACTAGTCTATAAGTATATTTAAGAATTCCAAATAAAACAAACAATGCCATTACACCATCAAACATATTTGACTGTTCGTTCGTGTTGATTTGGTGTTTGTTGTTTGCTGTTTGCTGTTACTTTGAAGTTTTGTTTGCAAACAGAATCAAAAATTAATTTTTGTGCACATTTTCACAATATTTTTGTGTTTAAATCGCGAATGTCTGTGATTAATGCTCAAAATTTGTTTGTCTGACTCTCGATTTGACATTGATTGACGTATGAGGTTAGGCTGAGGCTGAGGCGGAGCCTCAAACATTTTGATTGTAATATGCAAATTTTTGCATTCACGTCACCATAAACGCATATTTTTGGGCATAGTTAAATCACGGAATCGAAAGAAAATAAGTTCTGTGATGTTTACTAAACTCTAAAACTTCTTATAAATAAGCAAACATAGGTTCTTGGCAAGAAGAATAACTCAAAGTTGTTTGTAATTATTTGACTTACTTAACTTACCTCATATGAAATGAATTAGTTCCAATATATACCCTATCAAACTAATGAGTATATATGCATATTTGTAGTTACATTAAGTGTTGATCGTCCCTATAAGTATCCTTTCTGATTTTATTTAAAATAAAATAATTCCAGACTGCAGGCAACTTAATGTATTTTGTATAAGGAACTACACCTTCATCATCCCTGCGAAGATAATGAAATGTTTTTGATTTTCTGGTAGCTGCAAGTTCACTCTTTTGTCTTATTTTCCTGATATTTGAAACAGAAATATGTTCGACTCTATTGCAATAAAAATCCTTTCAATATCGATTATTTTGTCTCTACAAAACAAATGTAAGCCTCTTGTTATATTCCTTCCATTTCATTACATTTCACTTCCTGCAACTTTCGTCTATTCCATTTATCTATTTTGTTATGTCGGTTTTGTTTGGCAATCAATTATTGCATCATTAATCAGTCGGCAATTGGAAATCCAACTACGATTTTGACATTCGATATCGACTGCTGTCTAAATTGAACATTTTTATTGATTGTCCTGTCCTGTTTTTTTATTTTGCACCATCTCTTTTTTCTTGCGTTATGTTATGG